ACGCTGTTATTAAAATCTCATTTTCGAGAACGGTTAAGACTGCGCAAACCTTAATCGTGCCGCGAATCATATGCGAATTTTATGCGTGAGAGAGAAAGAGAGCGGCTACCCTTAATGTTCAGATAATGTGCGACCTTTAACGCTTCGCTGCTGACTGGGAACCTGTAAAAGTGCGATTTAACACAGCAAATCGTTCTCGCAAGAAGTATGAGAGATCTAATCGTGAGAGTTGCGACGGTAATTTTCTTACGCCAACGAGCAGAATAATTCGCGCAAAACTTGTGGACGCACCTTGGAGCTTGTGGACTCGGACTGAGAAATGGTAGAAAATTAGAAACGGCCGTAATCAAGGGAACTGTACCAATCGAGGCTTGGCGGCTGTCTTAACTTAAAAGAACTATCCTCGCTTTGACAACCCTGGAACTTTTGATCGTTTAACGTGCAATTCTCTTTCGTAGTTTTGGCGCCCGATTCTCACGCGAGTTCGAGGTGCCGCTTTTCAGGGAGGAACGAGTTATTCCCCCACTTCCAGATTTCTTCGTCTCGAGGAAACTTTAAGGAAACTTTCCGAATTCGGTCTCTTCGATCTTACAATTCTCTTTAATGCGAGAGGGGCTTTTCATGGCCCCTTTCTCCCCTTCTTCTTCCCTCTTCTTGTCTTCAGGGACATTCATAAATCATTTTCTTTCGTCACGAAATCCATCTCCGCCCTGCGATTATCCTCCTAGCAACGAGAGCAAGATGGAACCAGCCAAGGAATTACTTTCTTTCGTGACCTTTGTCAGGTGGTGGAATGCACTAAGCCACGTCAATGAATCGCACTTTACTAAGTCTTGAGACGAATGATATCCGACGAATGTATATCCGACATAAAATCAAATCGAATCCGCTTAAAGAAGGGTACAAGATGTTCGAGGATTATCAAACATTCTTTCTATAAGGCGCAAATTCGAAAGAGAGATTTTACTCTTTATCGTTTATCTTTATTTAATGCAAACTAACGGGGTAACCATTACATTCATTGTTCCGTTATTCACTATATAACATCACTATATAAATACACTATATATATTTCAATACTAAATAAATAAATAAAGCTTCACAGCGAGACTCGATTTGATGGACATCTGCATGTATTTAGGTTAGGTAAGAGTGTCTTTCTTGAAATGTATCGGAGAATGAATCAATACAAATGTGACATTCAAGTGGCGTTATTTTTGCATGAGATCGTAACGATGTATTCCAGAATACATGGATATCCTACGTTGAAATTGGATAAAGCCGATGCTTGCGACACTTAATTTTATATGTTACATATACAGGGTATCCCAAAATAATCACCAAATATTTCATGAGCAGGTAAAACGGAATCGAAAAGTCCTCTTCCATTTTGCAATTTTCGCAATAGTTAACGAGATATTAATTACTAAAAATTGATCTTCAATAATTTTTTACTCAAATACTATCAACTTTATAGAAAAACTGCAAGAGACAAAAATCATTTAATTTCTTCTCATAGAACTAAAAATTGTTTTTTTAATTTTTTTCAGAATTTTTTAATACTGTATTTTCTCATGTTGATAAAAATAAAAAAATGCAATACTAAAAAATTGATAAAAAATTCTAACAAAATTCTTAGAGTTCTATGAGAAGAAAATAAATGATCTTTTATTGTTTTTCTGTAAAGTTGAGTAATATTTGAGCAAAAATTATTCAAGACTAATGTTTGCAATTTTTAGTAATTAATATCTTGTTAACTATTGCGAAAATTGCAAAATGGTAGAGGACTTTTCGACTCAGTTTAGTCCGCTCTACCTGTCTATGAAATATTTGGTGATTGTTTGAGATACCTTGTACACATATATATATATGTATATATATATATATGTGTGTGTGTGTGTGTTTTTATATACATATTTTTCTATACACATATATGTAATCTCCATGACAGTTAATAACGATTTCATGTCAACGCAGCACGCGGTTCCGGGTAGAATATGCAATTACGATCGCCGTTATTCTCGTCGCATCCCTGTCGTCGTACGTAGCAGAGGTAGCAGATCCAACCGTCGAGGCGATAAATCGCGAGATTTATGTCGACAAATTTGACAACAAACCGTGGAATAGCACTCACTGATCCCAGAGAACAATGCCGAATCGGCGTCTGATTTGCATTTATGAAAAGGGCAAAATACCCGCTGTCCGTATTAATTAACTCTCTGTAGCGAGAGAGCTATTATTTATGGAGAATAATAAATCGCGGCGTCCGATATAGTACACGAAATATCATCGGCGGAAGATCGCGGAAGACTAAAGCTGGTTAAAATTTTAGTCTACAAGAATAGAGATCCAAAAACAAATCTAATTTCATATTCGTAAATGTTCTGTGGCACACTGTCGCGACCTGATATTCTATCGCCGTCTAGTTCGACCATTGCCGTTATCTAGAATTCGGAGACGCACGTCTCACCCGAGACGAGAAATTCATGGCGTGAGCACGCAAGCACGACAACTATGCCCTCGATTGCCGTCTCGACGGAAAATCGTGCGAAGGGAGAGACAGAAGAGACAAAGGGAGAGAAGAGTAGGGAGACAGAGAGAGAGAGAGAGAGAGAGGGAGAGAGAGAGAGAGAGAGGGGGAGGGGAGAGAGAGAGTGACAGAGACAGAATAGAAAGGTGGGGCATTCGCGAACACGACGAACGGAAGTCGGCCGCTAAGGTAGCAACGGACTCTATTCCGGGCTTCCCGATTCCTGAAAGCCCGAGGGTGCTGCAAGCTCGACTCTATTGATTTCCCACGTTAAAGGGAAACATTCGGTACGCGTAGGCTTTGTACATTGAAAATCCAAACGCGAAACATGACAAGAGTCGATATTTCCTGTCGTATTCTTTTGACATATAATCATCTACACAATCAATCTTTTTATACAAGCTAAAAAGAGATGTTATCTTATATACTGCTACTTGTTGTTTTAATATTAAAATCAATTATTAACATGTAAAATTAATTATTAATGTATGAAACTTGTTCTCTCTATAGATGTTTACCTTCAAAAAGATTTCCAAGGAGATAATATATTATATTATAATATAAAATCATGAAGTTTCGATGAGCTTTTCAAATATATTTTCATATAATAAACTTTTTATAAATAGCAATTCTTTTTAATGTGTTACCAAACGCGTTTGATTTTCTTCCATATTTATAAGCCAATTATACAGTCAATCGAATGAATTTGAAATCGGGGAATTTTCAGTTTTATTTTACAATAGAAGTATCAGGGCGATTGTTACAACGTAATGAGACTGGGTTTCGTTTAAGATATCTGCGCAATCGATAATCGATGTCCTATTTTCCGTACCGCCGCTTATCTATAAGCTCAAGTAACACAATAACCGCTGATAACGGTTTCAAAACAACGATATGAATACTTTCGCGAGTATACATCCCAACAATACCAATAAATTATCGAACGTACAGAAATTTAATGAAAACGTCTGGTAAAATGTATCACATTTGAAATCGCGATGTAAATCGGTAAATCTTCTATCCCACTACCCATGAATTGAATCTTCATGTATACAAATCTGACGAGAACGAGCGACGAGAGTGAGCGATCAGAAGGTACTTGTCTCGTGCATTCACACACCGACAACGTGATCGTAAATGTATACGATGAGGTACGCGTTGCGAAAGCATACCAAGGCACGATTACCGGCGGCGGTTTCCTTTCGGAATGGCACATCGACTCGATTCCAATTATGGTTTACCATGTGACGGCCGCAAACGCTATCGTCACGCGCGAGGAAGATGTTTGCTTCCCCGCGACATTATCGCGCCTTAATTCGTGACTCTTGGTCGCGCGAATCATTTCGCCGATAAATGCCTCGCAAAACATCGTCTACTAGTTACTGCAACGTTGCAGAAATTTAGATTAGCGCCAGCTCAGCGGCGTCGCCATAAATATTGGACGTCATAAAGTGCATGCGTTAGTGCAACCATTTTTCTACTTTTTTTCCCCCTTTTTTTTTACGTTTAGACCGAGATACCAATTCAAGATATGAAGAATACGTTTTAAAGACTGAAATTGAAACGGAAAATTTGAGAGATTTGAAACTCGAAATAAATGTGCTCTTTTATTTATTGAAGTGAATTATCATATGTACACAAGCGAATATTGCAAATTTTAATGTGTACTCTTATAAAAGAAGTGTTTAATTTTAAGATATTAAAATGTTTTAATTTTAAACTTTTTCGATTAACGAAATACTATGTGTTTGGATTTAAAATATTAAAATGATTAAAATATCTTTTATTATTAAACGTTTATTTTGAGATGTTTTAAACGTAAATATTTTTTAAACACTGCACTTTTTACAGTGTAATAAATACCCTTGTATACATGTATGATTTAGTTTTCCACGTAAAAATAACACTGCACTACACGTTTGAATAAATTGAAACAACGCTTTACATTTAAATGTATAAATTCATTTTGTGCAGTATAGTGTGTTATTTTTACACAAAAAATTAAACACATATTAAATTAAATTAAACAAATTAAATTAAACACATATATAAAAATTAAATCTTACACATATAAAGGCACTTATTACATATTTAGATTTGCAATATGACATTATTGTACGCACAATCTTCTTCGTTTTTCTTTACCGTTACTGATATATAAAAAAATATGTGGAACGAATTGAGAATAAAATAAACTTTTTCTGAATGAAATTTGCGAAAATTGATAAAATATTAACGCATTTATTGAATGCACAAATGCGGTCATAAAATAATTTTATATAATGTGAAAAGTAGATTGCCCGGAAAATATGGATTAAGTCAATTTCGTTATAATGATTTAAATACATTATATACAGATATTATATACGGAATATAAAGGCGCATCAATACACACTTATTGTTTATGGTACTTGCCGATCGTAAACTATGCAGAACGTTTAATAATAGAATGAAATTGGATTTCACTCACCACAACGAGCGCGTGCGTCAGAGCAGTCGATGACCTCGACCTCCTTGGTGTCATGCCGACGACCTCGCCCCTCATGATGCTCTCGACGACTGCGTAAGAGAGGAAAAAAAGCGAAAACACTTTCAGTACACTTCACAATTACTCCACTTATTCGACGATATTACTTATAAAATTTTAATTAAATATACATAATTTAAAAAATTTAAAAAAAAACTGTTATTTACATAGCAATCATTTCAAAGTAAGCAAAATTAAATAGCGACAAAACGATATTATAAATAATATTTAATAAATTATTTAATACATTTCAAGTTTTTTAAATATTAAACAGCATTTATGAGCAATAATTTTTTTAATATCAATGCTTTCACGCGAAAACTGAACTTTATTGGAAATTCTTTTAATATAAATTTAATCGCTGTGCTATTAATTAAATTTTGTGTTTTATTTCATGCTAATGTTTCTCACCTCCATCGCCAATCAGCCGCATTTGTACTAATGTGGGATCCTCGTTGTGATCTTCGAGGACCGTATCGTCGGTAACAGTCAGATCCTAAAAGAATAATCAATTAATCAGATAAATAACAATTAGTATTATTAAAATTTATAAATTACCTGGACATATTTATAAAGCGCTTTTAACGTTAATTTTGCCATTAATGATTTTCACATTTCCTTATTATTAATTCAACCGATAAATAATTTGCTAATAGCGATATGAGTAGAGACGTTCAATCATTTTCTAGGTTCATCGATCTCTTGTAAACGATTTCATTCGCAGTTTCGAAAAATTGATTGCATAATGGGTATTAATTGATTTCAATTCTTTCGAGAAATTTCATGACTCCGATTAGCCACGGAATGTTTATCTATCAATTCGCGGGTCAGAGATCGGACGATCGATGGTCTGGCTTCTCGTTAAAATTCGTCACGATCAACGCCTCTTCTTGTCAATACTTAACTGATCAACGGCGAGACAGAGTCGTCAGGAACGAAACGATGTGCGATCGCGATGCGATATTTATATGTGTGAATTTCTCTGTCAATACGATATCCGGCAAATTCTGTTTACATCTCACTCTTATTGACAGTATCGACACTTTAAAGATAGAAAGTTTTATAAATTCGTACAAAATTTAGATTTTATCTTATAAAAGTTCTGATCGAGAGAGACCGCAGCTCAAGATGCACAACTGTAATCTAATTGATAATAATTAAAAAGGATATGTCTGCAAATAAGTCAGTTGGAAAATTCTCTTCTTATTTTCATTTGTTTAAAATTAATACATAGAATAGTGTAAAAAATTTATTTCTCTCTTTTTACCTCCGTTCCTTTAATTCTTTTTCTGTATTAAAGTCTGCTGCCTCTCGGTACTTGCGTCTAATGTTTAACTATTTTTATTCTTATATTTATTGCTTACTGCTTTATTATTGTATGTATTTGAACTTTACTCTCTCCTATGATAGCGCCATCGTTTTATATTGTCCATTTCTATACATTTAAGAAAGAAGTAATTTTAAGATATTAAATATTTATCTCTTGTCTCCATTTTTTAAACACTTAAAGATGTTTTAGTTTTAAACTTTTTCAATAAGCAAAACACATATTGTTTTAAATCCAAACATAGTGCTTTGATTATTGAAAAAGTTTAAAACTGAAACATCTTTAAAACGGGGTTGTTCTGCCTTTCGGTAAACTTCAGCTCACTGTCTTACTCTCTTATTCTCTTATGTTCTTAATCTTTTACTCTTTTGTTTATCCAATGAATAAATTATCACATATGATTTATTTAAAGATGTAACCGAAGTATTTAAAAAATGAAGACAAGAATAAAACATATTAATATTTTAAAATTAAATACTTCTTTTTTTTATTTACTTACTTTTCTCTTTTTACTCTGTAATTTTTAGTTTATTTCTTGTCAGCATTTCCCATAACTCATATTTTTTTAATTTTCGTTATACTGTAATTTATTGCGTTTTCTAGTTTCTGTTTATCTAATGATAGTTTAGGTTTTAGATTTCTAGGCAGCTATTACTGATACCTCACCTTCTAAATGTATTTCCTACTTATTGCGTTTTGTTTTACTATTGTTATATTTTCTTTATTTTCTTTTACAACAGACTACGTTATTATTGTTCAATGTATATAACAATCAAATAAGGCTCGCAATTTAACATTTATGTTTATGTTAATTTGTTTTATAAAAAAAAATGGAAGACAATACACGTCTATTGTTCTTTTTAATGCTCTTCGCTTCGCGATATTTCATTAAAGTTTTTAAGAAATAACGTTAGAACGAAGACTATTTGAATAAATCTCAACAGGCAATCGATTTGATTTTGCTGATACTTTCAAGAAATATTCGAGACAGACATATATACGTATACGAAAGGAATAAAAAGACAGAAAATGAAAAGCGCGCGAACGACAAAAGCTTCTTCAGACAACTCAACCGATATTTTATGTTCCTTCACCCTTTGATCTCCGCGCCTTTTCCGGAACATTCTCTCGTCGCGGACTATTTCAGGGATTTAGTTTTCCAATAGGAATGCTGCGCCACTGTCAGGATAAATTATCGGAAGCTTTCTCACCGAGAGACAAGACGAGGAGGATTACATTCGCGACGACACGAGTCTGTCGTTCGTTTCTCTACCTTAGAATATTTAACGGCAAAAATATTGAGAATATCGGCCAAAGAAAGAAAATTGAAAAATTTATTTAACACTTCAAGTTGTGTCTTTAATGAATAACAATGATAATGTTATAATAAATTGGTACAAATAACTTCGTATCGAAACATATCTTAATAAATGTAATGAAAAAAGAATATGTCAAAATTAATTTAAGAAAAATAAATATAAAATAGATATTAAAAAATAAAAATAAAAACAAAATCTTATATATTAATGAAGAAGAAGTCATTAACATATAAATAATCAATTTATCTATAAAATTTGAGAAAATTTAGAATGTCTTAATTTAAATTATTAGATATACATATATTCATACATTATATTATGTATTACATATATAAAGTTATATTTAATCCTCTATAATTTTCCACGATAGCTATATGAAAATCTAAGATCTAAGAAAGTCTAGGTATCTAAAAGTTCACTGAAATAGCCTTAATAAATGTTCACAACGTCATGCTTCTAATGACTAATTGCTTAATAATTAGCAAATATGTCATCTTGCAGGATTATCATTAAAATTGGAATTCTTTTTAAATTCTCGGCTCATCATTAATTTGGAACCAATGAATTAATTCACATTAATAATAAGTACCGTCTAACTATGGAACAATATCGAAGAAAATTTAATTTCCTTTTCTTGTAATATCTTTCGATATCGATTGACCGAAGTAAAACCGAATTTTTATGTTAAAATAGAGATACTGTATTAATTAAAACAAAGGCCTATAATTTCCGGTTTACTTAAGTGATATTTTTGGCACCGTAAATCGTTCTCTTTCGAAAATATTAATTTATAAATAACTTGTATTAAATCTTAATAAAAGTTGACAAATTTAAAATCAAATATAGATCAAGCAACTCACAAGATACAAGGAAGTCCTTCAAGAATTGCTGCAGAACAGTTCTAATCTACTGATAACACGTCTCTGTAATATTTATTATTAATACCTTGCTAACTCACCTTAGTGGACTCGTTGTAACCGACGATCACGGCTGTGTACCATTGTGTAGTGCCTTCCGCCCGATAAACTTCGACCCTGAAACCGACCAGAACGCTGGGCGTAGTCAACAGAATCCTCTGACCGTCCTGCATCTCCGCCCATCTTCTAACGGCGTTTCCCCAGGGCATTGCGCCCTTAGTCAGCTCCCAGTCCTGCTGTAAAGACGAACAAAAAAGACCGAGGTTGAAGCTCCGTCCGTAGAACTTGATTAAGAAGAGCGGACTGTTCTCCTCCGCTCGAGAACCTGTCCGCGATTTTGGAAGAAAAAATAAAGAAGGAAAAAACCCGCGCAATTTGATAAGAGACATAACAAAGAGGATAAAAACTCCATGAAAAACTGAGCGCACGGGATTTTACTTTAAAAACAGACTGCGATTTATACTATACTTTATTACGTATTTTACTTATAATTTTAAAATATTTTAAATATTTTATTTTATTTTACAAAAATACATGTAAAAAAATATTCGAATCTTCGGCTATTGTATAATATCCCATTGTATGTTTTGAAAGATAGAAGCTGATGCGTGTTTTATCTTATTCGTTGACTTTATTATTATCTTATGTACAAAAAGAACAATTTTCCTGAAGTATCTAAAAGTTTAGCTAGATATATGTAGACTTAAAAATAAATTTTGAAATGTTAAAATAATTATGTAGAAGCGTTCAAGCGCTAATTGTTAGAATATTAAAATTTTTCGTAGCATTGCTTTTAACGTTTGAGTTTTCTACACAAATACTTTAATAAATTAATAAAATTATTTTCAGATTCGTAATTAAATTTTTAGATATTTCAGGAAAATCGTTCTTTCTGTGTATTAATACTGTCATAAATCGACAAAAATGATAAACACAACAATGCGCTGAAATTTGAAATACGAGTAGATATGAAATCTGGTTAAGGAGAACACAGAAACGTTATATTTTACGCAATCAATAACTGATATGTCAGATATTAGAAGATTTTATGCATACTCTTAAAAGCAGTGTCTGTCGAGAAATTAGATCCCTTGAAACAAAAATTAATATCGAATATTTAATATCCCTTTGTTAAATCTATAATTGGATACCTCGATAATTTCTAACGCATTAGAGCACCAATCAAAATGTGACATTGAAAACCGTTAATTATATCACCGTCTGGTTTCTCAAGCTATAAATATAGTCAAAGATTGTAACTAATTAATACATAATATATTTTGTCATCTCTACATACATGTTAATAAACTAAATCTTATATGACCTGCAAATGGATGGCTATAACTTTTAATGTCATTTCCAAGTCGACCGTACGACAGAAAGGTTTCAATTTTTTTACATTAAAACAATTTTCTAATTTATGTAACTCCGTGCATAATTTTAAAATTGAACTCTTTTTATCAATTTTGCATGGTTGATTTGAAAATGGCACGATTTTCAAGCAGGAGAGAATCGCCGAGGAGAAAACTCGACGGAGTTTGGAAGTAAAGTGTTTGGACTTTAAAATGTTTCTTTCGAAATGTTTCTGCGAATATTCCTGGTAAAGTTACATAAGTTTGTATTTCGTCGATGTATTTTATCGATTTAACGTGGCTCCTTGTTGAAGAGTGCATTTATAATATTTCATAATAATGGGATTCTCTTAAGAATGTTATGCAGATTCCAAGAGGGAGGGATAATGTCAATTTTCACCTTGTTTCGCGATCACTTCTTTTTTCTCGATGACGAGTACGCGGTCGAGCGAGCACACCGCTCGTATTCGCATTTAAGTTACGTCATCACTACGCCGTTACGTCAGACACGCGTTATGCAATCGTTGCGCACAGCGTGACGGCGCGAAGCGCGTTAATGGTAGTAATACAACGGCAATTAGAACGTTATTACCGAAGCGTCGAGAGCACTTAATGTCCGCGCAATGCTCGTCGTGAACGCGATTCACGAGGCACTTTGCATGGAGTTCCAATGCGGGCCAATAGCGCTTCCTTTCTTCGATATACTTATTCTTGTCTCTTTGATTTTATCTCTTAGATAATTCAAAAATTTAATTTACTACATAATCAACAAGAATAAACAATAAGATAAAGAAACAGAGTTATAATAATTTGTAGGAATTCGTTGATAGAGATAAAGCTCCGTCGCGTTTGATACAGAAATAGCCTCTAAAGATTTATCGAGCAGTCTATAAATGAAAAATAAAATCACGGTGACTACGACCTCGCGGCAGGAACACTATGATTCGACCAGATTTGATGGTATAAACTTAACTTCGGTCTCGACCGTTATTATCTTATGTCTGCTGCGGTCTGCATATTTTGCCCAACTTTTTCCTGGTTATTCTTGGAGCCTTCATTATGCGAGTGAATCGAACGAAATAAATGCTAGAAAGATGGAAAGGCAGCTTCACGCGATCAAAAAGAACTGCGTAATTACAAGAATAATAATTGCTTTGCAGATCTGGAAATATGACGTACATCTCGAACTCAATGTATTTTACAAATTGGTATTCCTATCGTTAATATGTAAAGTATAACGTAAACTTTATAGACTGCTAAACATTAATTAAAATTACGTCAGTCTTATTATGTTCTTCACAAAGTCCTCACATCCCACGAAACTTTTTACAGAGTTATAAAAAAACATTCATTAAAAATATATCAGTTTTACTAATATACCAGTTTTTACTCATTTTGCTTGCCTCACTACTGACGTATTGTAAAAATGTCATGGGTTTCAGATTCGAAAACTTCGTTTTCATTCATTAAAAATTATTCAATTTTACATTTTTCTCGTCGTAAGAAATAGAACGTAAAATCTTATAAGGAAAATACTGCATGATTAAAGAGCTGTCTTAACAATCATATTATATTTAAGAAAGTTAAGCGAGATGTTCGTTTAGATAAAAGTTTTCCTAGACCTGTAACATACAACATGCGTTTAGATAAATGTCCAGTATCTCTAACGTCCCGAAATTATCGTCTAAATTATCTCTTCGTGCGAGATTGATACGCTATTGTACATGTGTTTGTGCACATAGCATAATTTTTCGCAATTTTCTCATCCATCATAAACGAAAGTGCTTCAAACAAATAACTGCCAACCATCGTCCTTGCAGTCGTTCGTATCCATTGTAAAATCATTCCCTGCAAACTCAGAAGAAGTTTACCGAGAGGCACAATCAATAGAAAATTTTCGCGCAACATATGGCATTAATGGGGAGATACTCGTCAAGAGCAGTTCGCAAAACGTATTTTTCATTCGTCAAGCCGTTATCGTCGTTAAATGTCGATATTGAGTCGAGAAATAACGTCTGTCTGGACACATCGCGCACCAATTATAACGTAGAAATGAACGACCAGGATTGGTCTCGGGGTCAACGAGATTATCTGTTGGTCGTTGAATTATTCGTACGCACGATAATTCGATTCGGAGATGTCATTCGGCACGGGAACGAGAGAAATCGTATCCTTATTTATGGATTACGACCCCACGTTATGGATTGCTTGCTCCGAAAGATCGTTTCCAGAGGTTTTCTCTCGTTCAAAGCGAGTCGGCTAAATCTCATCTCCGATCGTATTCTCGTAATTTTAATCCTCTCCACGAATACGATGCAATTTTCAAGCAAAACTTCGTCCACAGTAACATGCACCTTCTACATGTGTATAATATATTACTTTCTTACGAAGTTCTTGAGCTAAATTAAATAGCAACGAAGTGAGCATTGCCTTCCTCATAATAAATTTTAAAGCTTGCATACGATATCGTAAAAAATATTTATTTATTTTATTTAAATTCAAAAAACTATTTTACTCAAATAAAAAAAATTTGATGTTTGTCTTCATTTCTTAAAAACTCTGTTTTTACCTCACTAATTATTTTTCATCGCTAAAAATAGAAAAGTGTATACTTCGAAAAAATAAGAGAAATTGAAATACTATTGTCTCCACAATCGCACTTTATAAAAAAATTAAAATAAGTTAATGTTATGAAAGCTCTTAATCGTTGACAATATATTTGCATCAATACAGATTGCATTTTAGAAATATTGTATATAACTATATATATTTTTATTACATATTGCGTAATTTAATACTCAGAAAAATATCAAAAATATAAAACATGTGATTTATAAATACAGAATATATTATCTATAATATCATTTTTTGCTTGTAATATTATCTTCAGAGATTTATGTTTTTGATAATATACTTACTATTGCGTATTATATTTCATAATACGTTTCTTTTACATCGTATAGATTTTAATATTAATAAAAATTGTCCGTGCGCTTCTTTTTGAGTAATTCTCCAATTATTAAGCAAATACCTCTCGAAATGAAAATTATCGGTCGGAAAATCACGGCCCACATCAATGTCGACTGTTATCGTTCTATCACGCGCCGCGGGTACTCGTTAGCAGTTGCTGGCGCGGCAGCTAATTAATTAAGGAGTTCCTTAATTAAGAACGCGTCCGCCATTAATCGCGATGCGTTCACCGTACAATCACGGAACCAAAACGCCAGCAGATAAAATGACTATGGGCAGGTGACTGTCGTAAAGTTTAAATTGAAGGCGCACAGACAGATACACGTGTACCGTTTGTGTATTCGGGCAATAAAATTACTCGCGTGCAATTACTTTTTACATCGGCGTCTGTATCTATTCGATAAAATTTAGTCAATAATGAACACGTCAACTCCGATATTACTCGATATAACAACTCTGTCAGTCTTACCGCTACGATACTTAATCGTTTTCGTATTTAAACTTTCCCAATGGCCGTACACGCACAGCAGGTAGGTTATAACATCATTTATAAACGGAACTGTTTCGTAACTAGGTATTACATGGGTATAAGCTCAATTTGTAGAAAGTTTAAGCTTTGAAGCATCAAGCCCTTGGGATAGTAAAATATCTGAGAATATTTTAATAACAGATTCCTCAAGTTCAAATATATTGATATTTCAAAATTTCGAAACATAAAGCTGATAATTTATTATAAGGCTTGCAAAACTGATAATTTTGTTGTAAAAATATTGTATAAGTTGTATTAACTTTCTGAGGATTGGCATGTTTTTGATTGACTTTTTTGAGGACTAGAACTTTTTTATCATTGTCATGGGGTTGAGTGGCAAAAAAGATGGCGTCACTGTCGAGTCCCTAAAGGAGCCTTCGGTCCTCTACAGGTTAAGAATGATGCACAACAGATTACGAGCCAAAGTCATACAAAAATTTTTGGCCAATAAGTTTTAATGTTTAGCTTATAATTTATAGCGAATTCGATTGGCCAAACCTTGTACTCATTTTATTGGACTATTAGGTGAAATGTATATATTGGGTCATTTAAAAAGTATCCGCGGTTTTTTCATTCAAAAATTGAACAAAAAACCGCGGATACTTTTTAAATGACCTAATATATAATTCGAAATATTCACTTTTACACTCAAATAAAATCAGTATACAATGACTTTAATATACATACACGCATTAGTACGCCCAACTGAATTCACTATTAGTGTGCTATTTCGCCAACTCATTGTCAATGTAAATTAAAATAAATCAGTGAAGATTTTATTATAAGATAAGGCAATGAACTTTTTAATTATTTTACATAATCCCTTTATCTACAGATTCTCGCGACATTTCAAACATCAGTTCGTGCGTTTAGATGAACAGTATTAATCGTCAAAGTAAAAGGTATGACATATATTTCTCTTCCAGTGATCTTTGAGGTAAGATTCCGACGAGGATCGCGTGAAGGGAACCCGAAGGTATAACGCAGTGCCGTCACATTTAGCTAAGGACCGTTAGACAAAACGGGAATATGTTGGCGCCTCATCTTGGCCGCTCTCCAACGTTTTCCGATGATGCGAGTTAAACTAATACTTAACAGTTGACGTCGTCGGCAGTAAATAAAAACAGCCGTACAGGACCTTTTCTTAACAAATTATATTATACAAATGCAGCTCGAAAATCCACTCTCTAATGAAGATTTCCTTTCATTAGATCATCCTCTAAATATATATAGAAAAAAACTCTAGATTAAAAAAGAAAGATTTTAGGTCTTTAGAAGATGAAAATAAATATTGTTCTCTTGTCTGATTTTTTTATCTTCTAAGGACCTAGAAATCTTTTCTTAGTCTGTTCTAAATCCAGTGCTCTTAAATTGTAAGTGATTCTAAAATAGAATTTATAAAATAATTTACACTATTACTTCCAATGCATATAAATATTTAATCTTCCATTTGCAATCATATTTTTACTCTCTCTCTCTTTCTCCCTCTCTCTTTCTCTCTCGGTCCAGCCTAAGTGTTACTATTCTAGGCTTTCAAAAAGGTAGAAAAATCAAGATTAATTTTTCAACGTATCTATTACATTACTAAGTTTTTTAACAAGATATTTCAATAGAGGAATCTGAATCTCTTTTATTTCAAAAAAATTTGAAAGTAAAATATTGCTTGTATCAAAAAAGACTCAGACGAATGATTAATATTCGCGAGATGTAAAGTGCGGTAGCATTCGTTCATGGCACCTATGGCAACGAGAGCAAAGCGACGGCGATGTCTTCGAGCGACAAGGGCACGCATGTTAGGTACTTATGCGATGCAACGAGGAGAAAAAAACCTTGTCGCATTTATAGTTCAGGGTCAGCCCACTCGAGCGCAACTTTGCCCTCCCGGACGAATTTGGTCCCTTGCACCATTTTTTCGCCTCTTTTGTATATCTTTTTTTCCTTTTGCATTTAACCGCTGATTTTCTCCTTTTCTCGACGAGCGCGCCGGTCCGCAGTAAAGTTGAAAGTAAAGATCTATAGTCGTTTGAAAGAGATTTGTTGTTCAAATTAGGATCAATTTACAAACGCAAAAAGAATTCGGAGTGACGATATATATAGCTTTATGAGTAATTTTGTCAAACCACAATAAATAATTAAAACTGAGATTGTTTGTTTTTTGAGTTTATTATAAAAGTCAGCGTCAAATATTATCTCAATTTGAGATGCTAAACTCGATCGATTCAAGATGTTAAATTTCAATCAAAAAGCTGAAAAGGTGCAATTTGTTTTGCATTGTTACAACATACGAGATTTCTCAGGGCATCCTTAATGCACAAAGTTACGAAGATAATACGTCTTGTTTGAGATGGACTAATAAGTCGCACGTGGAAGGATAAAGGGCGGATTTGAAAGGTGAGACACACCTGAACCTGACCGCCGGATTGAAAGTTCTCGCCGCACGTAAACGACTTACAACCTCGTATACCGTCGTCGAAGCAGGAAAAAGTTTTAACGGTAAAAGTTTCCCGGTAGTTTAATTACTTGGAAACAATTCCACCTCGCTCAACTCTTCCTACCCTAACAGAAACGCGGCAACTTTCGAAGTGGCCGCACACACACACACACACACACACACACACACACACACACACACACACACACAAAAACGTGCACACGCACTGTTCTTTCACCCTCGCGAAGAGGGATCGGTCTGATCGATTTATTATCTCGGTCGAGTGTCTCGTATTTCCCTATCTGGAAGCTTCCCCAAGCTCGACAAGAGTGTGGAAGTTTCTGCATGCTCGTTCATTACAACTGCCTCAAACTAATCATCGAAGGTCAAAAACGAGTACCGGAATTTGCTTATCACATTTGTAATTAGCACATTAAAAATCACATTCATGTCGGAAAAATTTCAGCGATTTAATTTCTCTTTTTAATAAATAGCCGATAAATTGTATTAAATAAGCAAATAATATGGAAAAAGAAACAAGAAAACGCGTTATTTGATAATTTGTTCGTAAATTTTAATGGAATATTCATGATGAGATAAATAAAATGATAAAAACATCCAGTTCGAAAAAAAAGTATAATATATGCGATGTAAAATTTCCATTGTTGATAAAATAATAATATATTAACAAATAAAGTTAAACAATTGTAAACAACGTATCGAATTACATTAAATTCTTTTGCTTTTACAATTTACTTTCTATTTCCACATGTAACCTCCAACATTTGCTCTAAATAATTTAGACATATATCTTCCCATTAATAAGTTTTTCCAATTTCGTTCGTCATCGGGAAATAATAAAATTTTCAGTTCAGGGAGGAATAATCCGCGAAAAGTTCTGTCACGCTCGCGAACATAACTCCTGCACACACGCGAAAGTGAAACGGGAACTCGAGTCAAAGTTCGGCTGCTCCTTCCACCTGGTAAGTTCGGTCGAAGCTCTTCCGCGTAGCTCTTAAGAGAAGTTGGACAACAAGCCTCCGTGAAAGATTATTTACAGCAACGGTACGACTCGCGAGAGAAGAAGAGATGCGCGCTCTCGCATTCGCATCCGTTGCCCTGGAGAGGTGTCGGATGCGCCAATGGCGCCGGAACTTGTTCTCTAACTAAGTTCCCAGCGAGGCCCCCTAACGAAGTAAGTTTCCAGTCGTAAAGCGGAAGTGGCCGCTGTGACGCGCTATACCACGTTCACCGACTGAACTCGCTCCGCTCGCGGGCTCTTAATCGTTTTCGGGATCCTTTATCGTATCTCGCGCGTGAAATGTGCAGGACATCGCAGCGGTAAGGAAATTAGGAGGAAAACGAGATAACGGATTACGTCAATGTACCTCGGTCAGCAAAAATTATCACCGTACTTCTCGTCACGCGCACGAATTTTATGCCTTTACGTTTTCTTCATAACTCATATTCACAAAGCGCGTGGACAGCTAATTAAAGAATATTGTTGGATCATCAATTCTTTCTGCTAAACAAAAATGTCACCTTCGTCACACGTTAAACTTTCATAAAGCGTGAAAAATATCGAATTAATACCGCATTTACTATAAATAATAATCGTAATTAAAATTAATATAAAAAAAAGAAAAGTAAAATTTATATAAGTAATAAATATATTCTTCAAAAACTAGGAGCGTATATACAATGTTTGTAAATACTCAACTTTACAAATACCTTCTAAAAATGTTAAAATACGTATATAATAATTACTTAACAATATGTTTTGTTAAAGTAATGAAAATTAACTCAAGACACAAATAACCTATTGCGTGTATTAAATTATAATAGCAAAAAAACTTGTATTAAGAGTTAAACATTAATGCTATGTTAGTATTTGTTTAATTTATCATTTTACATGGATTACAGAGTAATTACGGAGTCAAAGATCTTACGCCGTATTATGATAACGTTACAGCTAATATCTTCGATAGAGTGGTTGATCTTAAATAATAGGAATAACTAAAATTTGTGACTTACAGTGAATGGCTTCAGCTTGGAGTAGTCGACGAAGTCCAGTTTGCGATCTTGCATAAATTCGATCGGCATGGCGTCCTCGTGCAACTCGGCGCGTGCCACGAGAGGATAAAAAGTCTAAAAATAAACATACAATTTTCGATTATATGTATAACTATATCAGTTAAAATAACATTTTAATCCAATCCATCCAAGCAGCATATTTTATCATTCAACGTGCGCATGCTGCATTTAACTAATTCCATTTACATTAAAACATTTAAAAAAACTGGATATCATTATGAAAGACGTAATATAATAATAAAATTTACACCAGAGCATTTTTAAAGAAAGATATTTAATTCATTTGTTTAATGAGTGATTATACTTAAATTTTACATAAATTAATTTTAACGAATTAATTAAAAATTACAATCAATTGCAGAATAAAAATTAACTTATGGCATATTCAAATAAGAATTATTTTAAAAACGTATTTATACTTTACAAAAAAAAAATATAAATATTATAATCTCTTTGTATACAGATAATAGTTTTAATCTGATGACATCAGATATTAAATAAAAATTGATTATTATCTACATATAAAAAGAATAGAAATAAAGATATTAACAATCACAGCGCAATGATATTTCAGTCAATATTTATACAACGCGGCATTCAAACCTTTTGATATTTCTTTGCAAAAAACTGCATAAAAGGCAAAAATTTTAAATATATAAACGTAATTATTTTTGCGTAGTTGAATTTTCACAAAATAATTAAGCTTATTCAATCGAAGCATTAAAATTTTAATCAGAAAAAGAGCGCCGAACCAATGGAATGCGACAGTCCGTTTTAGCGGTTGAATTGTGCCGATGTAAAATTTATTCAACGGATTGGAGAATTGAGTATTTCATTAATTAACCACGAGCTGATTAATATTCGAATAGTATCACGAGCATTTCTCAATTATCATCGTTAAAATATGAGAGATCTGCATTAAAAATGGTAAATCGTGATAGTTTCTGTGTATAATTCGAAAGAAATCACACGTGACAGATTACTGCCGCATTCAGGCGTGAATATTATATCGTATAATATTTAAACCGTGATAAAAATATTCTTTTAACGGTATATCGTATAATTTCTACATTTCTATAATCTACATTTCTAAACAAGGCAGAAAAGTTTTGTAATTCATAATGCGATTAACGAAAAGAAAGAACTTGTTTTTCGTTTTCGAGTCATATTAGGTGTTGGAATTAATTCGTAGCGTTTTTTAATGAAAGAATGTTATTTATTTCACATGAGCATTAAAAAATACATTAATGAAAGTACTTTTAAAACTTATAAATACTTTGTAAAACGCTACGAATTAATTCCAACACCTAATATTTGAAGAGAAGCATCTCTCTTTATTTTTTTCCCTTACAATCTAATTCGGAAATCTATTCAATCAATGATGAGAAATCACTGATACAAAAAATATTGTTATTTTTTTCTTTGAGAAAAAAACGAAACGAGGTCATCCAAGGATTCGTAAATGCATCCATGAAAAGTAGATACAATTTATTTATACTTACAAGAGCTGGCCAAGCAACGGTGTCGGCGACCGCCGTGGCGCCTCTGAGCGGTTTCCCGTTAATGCGGTGCTGATGGTGGTTATTGTTCGCGTGATTATGATGATCGATGGGGATGAGACTGGCGTGCCTGGGGTCAGGTCGTTCAGCCCAGTAGAGACCTCTTTCAATGAGAAAGAAGGAAAATACGGCATCCCTATGTGGTGATAGCCACTCCCTCCTTTGCCATTCCACGTCGTCGTACTCTACGAGGATCTGCAAGCACATATAATCGAACGCTTAGATTAATTGCATTATACGTAATGCAATAAAGTGACTAGACGAGAAATTTCGAAAAGAGACAAAGCTCAAGAAACAAAGCTTTGTGACGGTCAGCTCTGAACGAAAGTAAACTGACAATACTTTGCAATAAATCAATATATTTTTATCGATATATTTTTTCCTTGTTAAAATAATTAATATCTTAATTAATAATATTTTAATTAATAAATAGAAACCGACCGAGTTAATGTAACAACATAATATAGTAGAGAGCGCCTAAGGATCGGACAAAATTGAAAGTTACGAATAATAAAATTAATAATATTTTAATTAATATTTTACAACTGATATACAATATAGACGCTACATATCTTTGTAAGAGACGTAATATAAAAACCATTTTTGCTAATAATCCCTTTAATTAAGCAGCATTACGAGAACAATTTTCTGCTTAGTCATTTTTTTAAGTTATAACAATGTATGTTGTTAATTAGAGACTTTCAAAATAACAAGTGGTACATAATGAAATGAAATCTGTGTGTAGGTTCTACTTATTCCACGGAATCATGAGGGGTTAAAGATTAAACCATTCTCGACAACGAGCGGTTATCATGCGAACGATGCACGGGGCGGGACCTTTCAGCTATCCACGTAACAACCACCCAGTTAATTATCAGCGCCTATTATCGTGATATTCATGCACGCTTATCGAGTCTCTCGTTCGCGTTCCTCCAGAAACGCACGCAACGAATTCGAGCGTCGATGGTGAAATTGTCTCGACTATACCGTACATATATTTACACAGAGAGAATGAGAGAGAGGATGGTACATGGAAATGGTGCAATTAATATGTATTATTCATAACCTCTGGCCTGGAGCAGAAAGTGCTGACTGCTAGGATAACGAGAGAGGGTCATGGAAGCGGGATGTAGCAGGATCCGCACGCTCGGTTTACTCTCGGGCTTTGTCAACGCGACCGGGATTCGGTCGGGGAGCCGATTTATCGAATCAAATGACAGATAGTCATTCTGTATTCTACGGCCTCTGCGAAAGTGCACGCTCTACTTTAGTCTAAAATTAAATGAATGTTTACTCTTTCCGATTTTCTTCAAATTTCAACAACATAAAGTACGTACACTATTTAGCTGAAAATTTTACAAGCTGGACTTCTATTAAAACTTTTCGCTCATAAAATAATTCAAAAATATCAGCGCCTTTACCACGCAGAAACTTCTAAAGCTTGAAATAATCCCCATCTTCAACTATTCAAGGTAGTATAATTATATTGTATTAATAAAACGTTACGTCGAGATATCACGAAATGTTTGCGCGATGTACATAGATGAGAGAGATCCTTTTCGTGTACAGATTAACACAAGAATGTATGCGTATTATATTTATAGAATACTTCGCATCCGGTTTTAGATTCCCTCGGAATATCATGCAACCCTCTCGCCTGTCTGGCACACTGGGGTCATCGTAATCGTAAGGGGAGAGCGTGACTCGGTGCGGTCACGATGCGTCAGCCAATTAATTGATAAATCAGCATTTATGGGCGAAACGTGCTCGTCAAAATCGTCGCACCGTGACCGCAAATACTCAATTCGATGTGTTTGGCCAAAACATGTATATAATTTACAGCATGTTGTATAATTATATTGTAATTATATAAGATTAAGATTAAGAGATAAACGATAGAACATGTCAAAAGTTTGAGATACGAGAGAAAGGATGATTTGTAAAAATGTAAAGAAGAGAATACATTGAATGTGTAAAATCAACCAATCAATAAAAATTACATATCAGGAAATTCTGCAAATAATAATAAAGACGCGCGAGGTGACTCAATTTATGGACGTCGGTATATATCTAGTAATAATCGTGTAACTATCTATTAACGTATCGATCGATAGCGCTTTATCCTTTTGCGATCGAAAGAAATGGCGCGGTGCATAAATTTGCATTTGTATGACTGCGGTAAATTAATTGATGTGTCTGGAAATGGCGGGTTGACTCCGACTACGGCACCGTGACACATCGTTGGCATCAATAATAATTCGCGGCCGATTATTAATCGAACGCGTAAGAAACGCGAGATGAGGTACGAGCGAGGCGCGGTTTCCGGGTACGCGAGTGGAGCGTGACGGCGCATAATTGCGAAACATTAATCGGTTAATTAATAAGTAAATATCTACGGGGCGCAACGGCTGTTAATAATAGGCGAGGGAAGCGCCACGTAAACGATACATGGATGATTAATAATAACGCGATATCGCGCTCGCTCGCCCGTCCGCTCACTAGATGCGTTTAATGGCGCTGCTGCTGCTGGCACGCAATTCGAATCGCGGGGGTATTCGGCACCGGCGGGGGTTATGTCAGGAATTGTAATCCGTTTTCGCAGGAATCTCTCTTCTATATTTCCGTGTCCCGCGTGTTCGGATTACCCACGCATCGGGGATGCCGCCCGAACGACGTAATCCAAGGCGCGACAAATTCTTTCCCAGTTTATCAAGAATTCGCGTTCGACGAAGTGTGTTGCAAATATTAATAGCTATCTGAAAAAAATCACGAAAATCGCTATAGCATGAGAATTTCAAGAGTCCTATTACCTATTATCATTATTTCGCCAGAATTTGATATAAATGGTGTTATATGTATTGGTCTTGTCGTATAATTCTACACGATTCTAAACTTCGTTTAAAAACTATTTTAAAAAACATTAACTACTATTTTATATTTAATTTAATTCTGACTACTCTGTAGCAACTTAGTAAATTATTATAATGTAAAGAAATAAGGGTAATTATATCCCTCCCTATTATTAAATTCATTATAAATTATTAAATTATGTAATAATTTACAGTCAATTTTTTTAGAAAAATGAAGAAAGAAAATAATCAATACATTATAGTCGATTGAATCAATAATGACTGGATAATTGACTTCATTTCTTTCAAGCAGTTTTACAAATTTACTTCAACCAATTCTCCCTGAAGATATTATATAATATTAAAGGAGAAGTGCTGTTAATGTGATTCATATAAGGTGCACTCCAGTAAGTATACTATAACAATAATCGACAACAGGAAAAATTCATCCTTCCTTTCTCTAATATGACGAAATGGATTTCAACAATTTGCTGACAATATTAAGTAAGTAGAAGTATAGTTTATACAACAACCCGTCAGAAGAATTTTCGTAAGAAATCAAGAATATACCGTGTTTTTGAGAGAAGCAACTTGATGAAATAATCAGATTTCGAATGATCAGAACGAATCATCTCACAACACATAACACGGATCCCAGAACTGTCTAGAATATGAAAACTATCCCAGAATGCATAAGCGATCTCTCGCCCATCCGTATCCCAGACAGTCCCGGAGGGTGGTAATATTCCCGGTATCAAGGCTGGTTTTAACCCCTGGTTTCGGGGGACGCTCACCAGGTGGCGATATCTCTCGGAGCGGAGGACCATAATGGCCGCCAAGGCCATCACGCTCCGCCTCTGGTGAACGCCAAGCACCGCCCAGATGGTTTCCCGGGTAACCATCCAGATCGGCCATTTTGCCATCGCGACCTACCACAACCTTCTCCTACGACCATGGACGGATGGTCTCCCTCCACTGGTTCTGACCCCCTTCCAGTTCTAAGCACCATTCTGTCCCCTCTCCTCGTCTCTTTTCATGTCCCCACTATCAGACAGCTCCCAGTGTGGCACCAGATTCGCGCTTGTTTCAGACGGAGATTAGAAACTGGGCGGCTTCGTTTCACTAATCATCGTCTACTGATAAGATACTCGATAATTAACTTTAATAATAATAACTGAGAGAGAGAGAGAGAGAGAGAGAGAGAGAGAGAGAGAGAGAAAGCAGAAAGCTTATACGCAAAAAACTTAAGAATAGCCAGATTATGAATCTTAGAGGAAATATTTTTGATTAAACACAAAGAGAAGAAAGTCTAATTTAATTTTTATTCGTTATTAAAATAACTATTAAAATTATACATTTTGATAAACAAAATCATTACTATTTTCTAATGTGTCTCCTGAGAATATTCGCAGTCAATAATTAATAAATTATAAGAATTTTTTAGCAAAGTAATATAGCGTTCTTTGATTTTGCAAAAATTATAAACATTATCTTAAATAAGAGCTACTTACATACGTAAACATTCATTTATTAACAATAAAATTATGATTATCCGTAATGTGTAATATTTCGCTACATACACGTAAATGGCTAACGATGTTAAATGTCGACGTGTAAAAATAAACAAGCTTGCACGCGATCAGTCGCGACGGTGATGAAAACGTTTTATTATTGCTTACATCGAGACTTGGATAGGAGGAAAAAGAGGTGCGACAGAATTTTATTACATGCTTCGCGATGTGAAATCCCTTAAGAGAACTCAGCCTGCAATACCAAGAAAATATAGCACGGTTATAAAGAAAAAAAACAGATGTTAACCTGTGACATAAACTAGCTAAAATATAGAAATTTTAATTATTGTCTTTTAAAGTATACTGGAAATCTATGTAAGAAAAATAAATTTTTTCAAAAATGCAACATAGCTGCAGGAGAATTATTATTAATAAGATAAAATTCTTGATACATTTACGTCATATCTTTTTCGTTGTATTTATTATAATGTATTTTTACTTTTCTTACTAAATTTATTAAATTAAAGATTTCGATTTTACAATTAAATTATATAAAGTTTATTATCGAATGAGTCATGTCATGTCAATTGATAGCACTTTATCGCTTATTGATCGTTTCGAAGAGAATAGACGTTCGTTTTGACGTTTAATGACATATTTTGACGAGACGTCGCATACATTAAATATAAGCAAAGTGTTATTATTAGAATTTTGTTATCCATCTATGAATAAAATTTAAACACTTAATTAGACATTTTCTAGCTTCAATTTAATTCCTTGATTTGCTCGAATTATAAAATCATATTTAGAGATATCGCATTTCGTTACAAATAAG